TGTAACAGGAATCATAATCACTCAGCAGTGACTGAACGCAAAAATCGCATTGAGAAACTACAAGATCTTGGATGGCTGTTTTGCTGCAAAAGAAGCTTTCGTGGAAGACTACCGACGTCTAACGAAGGATACAAGGATACGAACGCGAATACACATCGCGTTCACGAGGATACAAAATACTACAAATTAAAAAAAATCTAAGTGCTAACAGAATATAGAAAACTTGAAAATAATATTTAATTTCGATAATAAAACTGGATAAAACTATATTCGATATTCCATACTCTTTAGATATGAAACGATTAAATACTATTTCAGAACGTTAAATATTTAACTATTTGCATTGAAAATTAATCGGCAATCGCGCACGTCCATAAAATTTCGTAGCGGACTATGACAATCAAAAATATTCCTATTTATACAAATTGTATATGCTAAATATTGTTACAAATTGTAAAGAGAAAACGTACGACATGTTGTCATGGAACGGAAAGACCATCATGTGCATTCCAGCACGTCCTTTCAGTGCAAGTAGTTAAATACCGCTTTTCATCACGCTCAAACTATATTATTCAATTTGTGTTTCTGGCACATAGATTTTTTAATTCGTAGCATTCCATTAGAAACTGCACTTTTCTCGCGTATATCGCAATCAATCTGACAAACTAGCATCGATATCCATAACAAACTCGATGAAATCGTTATCGTCGTCGATTACTATTACACACGAGTGCCCATCCGGAACTGGATGATGATCTCGCCCACGTAAGATCCTGTTACGTTTTTTCCCTCGTCCCGGGAAAAGAAGCACGATAAATAATTATCACAGTCTGAACTATATGTCTAATTCCTACTTGCGCCCTACTTGCAGTACACAGCTTACACGGCTAATCTACACAACACACGACCGCACTTATACTTCAATATCTTCAAAATATTCAGTTCGTCGCTATATACGAGACTCATACATATGTATATGTATACGAGTATATGTATAAATATACAGTGTGTTCTAGACGTCGCGCGTTTTCTTTCGACTGCAGATACCGATGACTATGATAAACGGAATATATCCTCTCAATAGTTTTTAGTATAAAGGTTATTTGAAAATTAAAGATTTTCAAAATGAGTGAGATAAAAGATGTATAAATTAAATCTTCATTTTCACCTTAAATTAAATATACAAATTCTCAATTTAATCAATAATAAAAATAAGATATTAATTTTTATTAAAAAAGAGAAATCGTAATGATTAATTCTAAATCCATTGTCTGCAATGCAGAAAACGCGCGCGCGTGCGTGATGCCCGATATATAAATAAAAAAAATGCAACACTACACGCGAGCGAACCGAGTCGCTTGTTTTTCGCGTCCGCAGAATGTACAGTCGAGAATAAATTATTTACAAGCGACATTTGGGTTCTCAATAGGCGGAGCTTATATAGAAGAGGTTCAATCGAATTTTTTTCTTCAATTGTGATTTTCTTTCTTTTGTACAAAAAGAAGAAATGCATTTCTTATTGGTCTGATAATAAAATAGTACCTCGGCGGAAACTCAGCGTACAGATCGACTCTCAAATGGAGACATCTCCTACCGCGCGAGCTTCTTGTTGCACATTAGAATTCTCATTATTTTCTTTTCTTTTTCATTCTTTTCATTTTTCTGTTATGCACCAATATGGTGTGTATGGTTTAAACATACTCAGGCTCTAAATAATACCTAGCCGAGTTTACCCGTTTTTGTCGGATGATTAGTCATCCGGATTCTTTCCGAAAACTAAATGTGGCCGTTTGCCATTTATTATTCTTCATTACAAAAGTCAATTCGTACTGTCCAATTTGATCTCAAAGAACACGTTAGTGCGAACATACATGTTAAAAACGCAATTACAATCGCAATCGCGTAATTCACTTAAAAGTGCTTCCTAAGAGGCCGGCTATCGATTCGTTCATAGAGTATTATTCCGAAGAATTCAAAATCGGATTTAATAAAAACCTACGAATACCGAGCCAACATCAGGATGATTTGCAGTTAAGTCAATCGCAAGTCGCTCCGCACATCCAAGTTCAAATGTATAATCCTAAAAATGTTCGTCGCTGACATTTCAGCCACTTTCACTATTCGCAAAAATGCGTCACTCGCAAGACGGCCCGGCGACACCTCTTATCACGCTTATCGACTCATATCATTATCATCAACCATCGGAATTTACACATACGAAAACGATTGTTCTAACGCACGCATGCGTTCGTTTTCTCACGCTCACGGTTCTCTCGTTCTCGGTTCGCTGGGTCCCGCGGGTCGCCTTACTGTCAGGGTCTGACGAGAGGCTTACCTCCGTAGGGAGCGGGATACTGTCCTGTCAACAGGGGATAGCCCAAGCCCACATGAGTGTGATGATGCGTGTGCACGTGTCGCTGCGGCGGCGGCGATCTATTGTCTTTGCCACTGGCATCCACTGCACCCTGCTGCTGCTGCTGACTACCCGGTTGACCCTGCTGTTTGCCGGACGGTTGCTGACCTTGGCCTGGAGGAGGGCCTGGGCCCGCGACTGACGTGGGCGGACCACTGGGAGGTCGGGCGGGAGTCGGACCTGCCGAAGACGGGCTGGCAGACGCCGCGGACGTTTTAGGCGTTGGTGACTTGAGCGCGCGCTCTTGCAGCTCGTGTATCTTGTGCGCTGAATAATACTGATTAGCATGATGTTGAAGCAGGTCTAACGCCTTACCGCCGGGCGGTCGGCTCAGATCTTCTGGTGCGTGATACCTGGGTAGTTGGTGAAGGTAGGGGTTACTTGAATAAGGACCAGGCACCAACATAGGACCAAGGCCGCGATATACTGGATGACCTGGATCGAACGGCAGCGCGCCGTAATGCTGCGGGCTTGGCATGTAAGCACTGGGATGGATGTAAGCAAACTGCGAGGTAGGCGGTGGCGGCGGTCCCTGGGTTTCCATTGTCGGTTTTACACCTTCTTGCTTGTTCTTAGAGTCCTCACTCTTACCGAGATCTTGTGGTTTTTCTTGCTTCGGCTGGTGCTTCGGGCTTGGCGGCGGCGCTTTCGCCTGTTGACTCTGTTTACTCGATTCCTCTTTTCTTCTTTGCTCACCCGGATATAGATAATACCTCCTATCGTCCTGAACGGGTCCCGGTGGAGGCGGCGGTGGTGCCGCTCTTTGACTCTGCGAACCGTGATAGACGTGATACGGACTCATTTGACTCTTCATCTCGATACTCTCCTTGAGTATTTGATGATTTTCATGTTGCTTATCTTTTAGGCTCGGTTGCGGCTGCGGCTCCTGCTTGATCTTGATTTTCTGCTCATGCGGCTCCTGGTCCTGCGACTGCTGACTCTGCTGCTGCTGTTGTTGCTGCTGCTGTGAGACTGGTTGTGGCGGTTGATAGGGATAGCCCGGCGGCATATAACCGCCATAAGCACCATAATAGTGCGGCTGCTGTTGCGGCTGTGGCACCGGCTGGCTCAGCTCCTTCTTCTCCTTTTCCGACACGAC